GCAACAAGCACAGGAAAAGACGCTGAATTCATTAGTCACTAGAAAAATGCAAATCAAAACCACAAAGATATATCACACTTCACACCCAACTAGGAGGGCCTAATCAGAAAAACAGGAAATAGTGCGTGTTTATGAGTATGAAAATGCATTTGAACCCTAATACATCACTGGTGGGAATGTAAATTGATACAACCATGGTGGAAAAGTTTCACGGTTCAGTAAGTTAAACACAGAATTAACTGTGTATGACCCAGCAAGTCCACTCCCAGGTAAAAAACTGAAATCAGGTGTTCCAACAAAAACTCGTATGCCGGCCATGCACGGTGGCTCAAACCTGTAATCTCAGCACTTTGGGAGGTGGAGGCAGGCGGATCATGAGGTCAGGAGTTTAAGACCAGCCTGGCCAACATAGTGAAAGCCCGTCTCTACTAAAATACAAAAATTTAGCTGGGTGTGGTGGGTGCCTGTAATCCCAGCTACTTGGGAGGCTGACCCAGAATTGCTTGAACCCGGGAGTCAGAGGTGGCAGTGCGCCAAGACAGCAACATTGCACTCCAGCCCGGGGAACAGTGTAAGATTCCATCTCAAAAACAAAACAAAAAATTAGTGGGGCAACGCAGCGGGAGCCTGTAATCGCAGCTACTCGGGAGGCTGAGGTACGAGAACTGCTTGGACCCAGGAGGCAGAGGTTGCAGTGAACGGAAATTGTGTTACTGCACTCCAGCCTGGGCAACAGAGTGAGACCTTGTCTCAAAAAAAAAAAAAAAAAAAAAAAATGGCCGGTGCTGTGACTCACACCTGTAATCTCAGCACTTTGGGAGGTCAAGGTGGACAGATCACCTGAGGTCAGGAGTTCAAGACCAGAGCAGCCTGGCCAACATGGTGAAATCCCTGTCTCTACTAAAAATATAAAAATTAGCCTGGCATGGTGGCGGGTGCCTATAATCCCAGGTACTCAGGAAGCGGAGGCAGGATAATTGCTTGAACCCAGGAGGTGAAGTTTGCAGTGAGCTGAGATTGCGCCACTACACTCCAGCCTGGGTGACAGACCTAGACTCCATCTCAAAATGAAAAAAAAAAATCTTGGATATGAATTTTGCAATTGCAGCTTAAAACTCATAGTCACTATGACATTCCCTTTATCTCTACTTTTTTTTTTTTTTTTTTTGAGACAGAGGCTTGCTCTATCACCAGGCTGGAATGCAGTGGCGCGATCCCGACTTCACTGCAACCTCTGTTTTCTGGTTTTTTTTTTGAGACGGAGTCTCGTTCTTGTTACCCAGGCTGGAGTGCAATGGCGTGATCTCGGCACACCGCAACCTCCGCCTCCTGGGTTCAGGCAATACTCCTGCCTCAGCCTCCTGAGTAGCTGGGATTACAGGCACACACCACCATGCCCAGCTAATTTTTTGTATTTTTAGTAGAGATGGGGTGAGTTTCACCATGTTGACCAGGATGGTCTCGATCTCTTGACCTCGTGATCCACCCGCCTCGGCCTCCCAAAGTGCTGGGATTACAGGCGTGAGCCACCGCGCCCAGCCTGAGAGCAATTGTTTTCCGATTTGAAGCAATTCTTCTGCCTCAGGCTCCCGAGTAGCTGGGACTACAGGCACACACCACCATGCCTGGCTAATTTTTGTGTATTTTTAGTGAAATGGGTTTCACCATGTTGGCCAGGATGGTCTCAATCTCTTGACCTTGTGATCCGCCTGCCTCAGCCTCCCAAAATGCTGGGATTACAGGCGTGAGCCACTGCACCCAACCTATCTCTACTCTTTTACTTCCGTTAAAGTCAGAACTAGGCCAGGCACAGTGGCTCACCCCTGTAATCCCAGCACTTTGGAAGGCCGAAGCTGGTGGATCACTTGAGGTCAGGAGTTCCAGACCAGCCTAGCCAACAGGGAAAAGCCCCATCTCTACCAAAAATACAAAAATTAGTCGGGTGTGGTGACAGGCACCTGTAATCCCAGCTACTCAGGAGGCTGAGGCAGGAGAATCGCTTGAATTCGGGAGGGAGAGGTTGCAGTGAGCTGAGATCGTGCCACTGCACTCTAGTTTGGGTGACAGAGTGATACTGTCTCAAAAAATAATATAAAATAAAATCCATCTTCCAACTAGCAGGGCACATTCCTTGCCAGTCACGACTGGTGATCATGAGACGTTTCCGGCTAAGGAAGCGGTGTAGTATGCCTGCAAGGGCAAACTCCTATGACAGCAGGATGTCCGGATGTCCTGATATCACATAACAATATCTGTTTTTAAGATAGTTATAGTCGGCCAGGCACAGTGGCTCATGCCTGTAATCTCAGCACTTTGGGAGGCTGAGGTGGGTGGATCACCTAAGGTTAAGCATTCGAGACCAGCCTGACCAACATGGAGAAACCCTGTCTCTACTAAAAATACCACAATTAGCTAGGCGTCGGGGCACATGCCTGTAATACCAGCTACTTGGGAGGCTGAGCCAGGAGAACTGCTTGAACCTGGGAGATGAAGGTGGCGGTAAGTCGAGGTCGTGCCATTACACTCCAGCCTGGGCAACAAGAGCAAAAACACCATCTCAAAAAAATAAATAAATAAAAGAGAGTTATAGTCATACTTTGATGTATTTCCGCACTAAAACACCAAGGATAATTTTCTTTTCTTTCTTTTTTTTTTGAAATAGAGTTTCACTCTTGTTACCCAGGCTGGAGTGCAATGGCGCGATCTCGGCTCACCGCAACCTCCGCCTCCTGGGTTCAGGCAATTCTCCTGCCTCAGCCTCCTGAGTAGCTGGGATTACAGGCACACGCCACCATGTCCAGCTAATTTTTTGTATTTTTAGTAGAGACGGGGTTTCACCATGTTGACCAGGATGGTCTCGATCGCTTGACCTCGTGATCCACCCGCCTAGGCCTCCCAAAGTGCTGGGATTACAGGCTTGAGCCACCGCGCCTGGCCTGATAATTTTCTTTAAATCAACAAAGCACTAAATTTTCTTTTCTTTCTTTTTTTTTTTTTTCATTTTGAGACGAAGTCTTGCTCTTGTTGCCCAGGCTGTAGTCCAATGGTGCCATCTTGGCTCACCACAACCTCCTCCTCTCGGGTTCAAGTGATTCTCCTGCCTCAGCCTCCTGAGTAGCTGGGATTACAGGCGCCCGCCCCCATGCCCAGCTAATTTTTTGTATTTTTAGTAGAGACAGGGTTTCACTATGTTGGTCAGGCTAGTCTCGAACTCCTGACCTCAGGTGATCCACCTGCCTCAACCTCCCAAAGTGCTGGGGTTACAGGCATGAGCCACTGCTCCCGGCCTAAATTTTCTTTTTTAAAAAATATTGTGGCCAGGCGAGGTGGCTCAAGTCTGTAATCCCAACACTTTGGGAGGCCGAGGCAGGCAGATCACCAGGTCGAGAGATCGAGACCATCCTGGCCAACATGGTGAAAACCCCATCTCTACTAAAAATACAAAAATTAGCTGGGTGTGGTGGCATGCACCTGTAGTCCCAGCTACTCGGGAGGCTGAGGCAGGAGAATTACTTGAACCCGGGAGGCAGAGGTTGCAGTGAACCGAGACTGTGCCACTGTACTCCAGCCTGGCGCCTGGCAACAAAGCGAGACTGTGTCTCAAAAATAAATAAATAAAAATAAAAAATACTGTATTTATGGCTGGGCACTGTGGCTCATGCCTACAGCCCCAGCACTTTGGGAAGCAGAGACAGGTGGATCACTCGAGGCCAGGAGTTCAAGACCAGCCTGGCCAAGATGGTGAAATCATGTCTCTAACAAAAATACAAAAAAATCAGCTGAGCATGGTGGCACATGCCTGCAATCCCAGCTACAAAGGAGCTGAGGAGGGAAGATCTCTTGAGCCTGGGAAGTGGAGGCTGCAGTGAGTTGAGTGCCACTGCACTCCAGTCTGGGGCACAGAGTGAGAACTTGTCTCAAAAACCACCAGTTTACCTTATTTGGTTAGTCTATAACCTAATTACGTTGAAAAATTGACTGAAGCTTGATTATTTCTATTATACAGACTTCAGCCATTCCTGAACTTCCTGTTGAAGTCAGAGGTACCCTCCTTGTGAGACAGATACCCAGAGCTTGGACTTATTCGTTTGCTTTACAGAAGCTCCCTAACTTATTTTCACTTTTCAGACTAGTCTTTAAGCTCCAAAGCCAGAGACCGTGACTTCCATTCCTTCTGGATCCCCCGGCAGAATTTCCTAAATGCCTGAACTCCAGAAAGCACTTCCTAAATGCCTGCCGAAAGACGGATACTGAGCATGCCCGGCTTGGCCAAGCCAATTCAACAACATTCTGAAACAAAAACTATATAGTTCCCGCGTTACAAGGTGGAAAAGGGGGAAGAAACGGGAGCAAAGCCTAAGAATTCAACCTACAAGAGGGGGCTAAGGAAAGGCAAGGTTCAAGGGCGGGCACACGTGAAGGACAGCACTTCCACAGCTCAAACTTGGTACTCAGTAAAGTGGTGTCGAACCAGAACGACCAAAGAAGGCTAAAAAAAGAAAAATACTAGATTAACGAGTGAGGGAAGGTCAACAAGGTTGCAGGTTATCGATGACGTAGGCTTGACCACAGTTTTTTTTAAAGCTGCCCGCTCCAAAAATAATACTAAGATGATCAGGCCTTCGGTGTCAACACCAACAAGATACCCTGTGATGCAGCTCACTTCCAAGAAGTTCCTTTTTACAAACGAAAGAGCCATGCTTTGGCCAAGATACCTCAACCATCAACGCTTGCTAAGCTCTCGGCTCCTGCCTTCATCACCACCGCCATCTTCTGGATGGGAACCCAAAACCCTTCCTAAAGGGCTTTCGCCAGCATCACCTCCGCGCAAAGCCCAGGAAAGCTGCGTATCTCAAGTCGCGTAGACAGCGCAAAAGGGGAAACTCCACCTTGCTCAGCTCCGCGCCTTCCAAATGCACGCAAAGGGATGCCGTCTTCCTTCCCCCCACCCCGCCCAGGCTTTCCAAGGTCCGGCGCGAGGCGGGATGCGCGGGCCTCACCTGCACACGCCGCGAATGCATGGCTCCAGCCAGATGCGATAGGCGGTCTCGATGTGCTCCTGCGACACCTCCTCGGGCCGCACCGTCTCCGCCCAGCGCCAGGCCGCCTTCTCCAGCTGCAGCCGCGGGGCCATGGCCTTGGCCGCAGGAACGCCTCCCGAGCCAGGCCGCCGCTGCCGCCGTCTGCACGGCCGTCCCAATGGGCTCCGCCACCTGCCAGCGAGGAGGACCGGGCGCTCCCTCAGGCAGCTGGCCAGTCAATCACCTGTGCACGCCACTGCCGCCGCACCCGCTCGCGCCCGACCCGCACGACCGGCCGCAAAGCGCCGCCGCGGACACCCTACACCCGACACCCCCAGCGCCCGCGGACGTTAAAGGTGGACTCCCCGCTGCGCTGGGCGCATGCGCGTTCCCAGCAGCCTCTGCGCCTCCCGCGCCTTTAACCCGATGGGCTGAGGAAGAGGAAGCGTCCGTCTGAGGCAGTCCTGCCACGTACTCACTGGCGCTGTTGGGAAAGCGTCTCGGCCCCAGTTCAGGGCAGCGCCCTGCGTACCACTACTCTAACAAACCCGTGTCTCTAAAGCTATTTCTTGCCTTTGGTACTTCCCTTCTAACCATGAAGGTTTCGTCCGAAAGGCTACTCAACGCACACCATAGGCCCGCCCAGACTGCGGGGCGGGAACTGTTTAGAGTAGGAACCGAGTCGCCAAAAAAGACAGGATCAGTTCTTTGGAGGAAGATTTAACTTGAGCCTAGACCGGTTCCGACCCCCTTTCCCGAGCCCTCTTGATGTCAACGGGACGTTCCGGCCTTTGCCTGAAGTAGGACTACGTGTCCCGGCATGCCTTGCGTCGTGCCACTCACTGCTAGGCATGCCGGGATTTGTAGTCTTGGAGGTGAGAAGGCTCCGTGCGCCGCAGACTGTGCGGGCGGGGTCAGCGGTGCCAGGGTGGAGTTTCTCTGATGAGCAGGATCATGCTGGCTCTTGACTCCCTTTTAAAGACTGTTATCTCTATGCCATGATTTTCTAGTTCCTCTCTAGCTCGGGGTTTAAAAACATTTACTTTCGGCGACTCCTGCCCCAGGACATAAAGAGTAGCTTCATGAGAATTGCTGTGCAAACTCTAAAGAACTCTAAAGTGAGGATATTTAAGAATTTTGCATTTGAATTAGAGCCCTGCCAGAATCTAAGTGCTAATTTCTGACTTAACTGCTTGCCCTGTGGAAAACCTGAGGCTGAATTCTTTAGATAAATATTCACTGAAGACAGGAAGAAAATAAGATGTAGTCCCTGTCCTTGAAGGTGGTTAAGGGAATGAGCGGTAGAAAAGCTAAGATCCCGCCGGGCGCGGTGGCTCACAGCTGTAATCCCAGCACTTTGGGAGGCCGAGGCGGGATCATGAGGCCAGCATATCAAGACCATCCTGGCTAACACGGTGAAACCCTGTCTCTACTAAAAGTACAAAAAATTATCCGGGTGTGGTAGCGCACGCCTGTAATCCCAGCTACTCGGGAGGCTGAGGTCGGAGAATCGCTTGAACCCGGGAGGCCAAGGTTGCAGTGAGCCGAGGTCTCGCCGCTGCACTCCAGCCTGGGCGACAGAGCGAGACTCCGTCAAAAGAAAGAAAGGAAGGAAGGAAGGGAAAGAAGGAAGGAAGGGAAAGAAAGAAGGAAGGAGAATAATATAAAAGAGAAAGGAAGGAAGAGAAAAGAAAGAAGAAGGAAAGAAAAGAGAGAGATCCTTTTCCCTTCCCTGCCTTGGGAGGCTTTGGTGTACTTGAGAAAAGGTTTCCTAGAAGTAATCCCTAAGCGCACCTTTAGCAGATTAGTTGGATTTAGCCAGGATAGAAGAAGGACACCATTCCAGACAAAAGAAATAATGAGGAGCAAAGGCAGCACAGAAGAGAGAAGCTTGGCGTGAGAGGGCCACAATTTCTGAGACAGGGAAAGGTGAGACCTTGCCTTTATTCAAGGGACCCATTGAAGATTTAAAGCTATTGAGTGCTATAATGGAGATTTGCATTCTGTTCTCTTTTTCTTTTCTTTTTTTTAAATTTTTTTTCTTCATAACATTCTTGGAGTGTAAAAGCTAGAGTGGACATCCCTGGGTGGGCTTGAACCACCAACCTTTCGGTTAACAGCCTAATGCACAATTGCACCACAGAGACACCTGCATTTTGTATAGTGAGGCAAAGAAGACTTTTTATTTTTTTAAGAGACGTTGTTTAGACTGTTGCAGTAATACAGGCCCAAGGAAATGAAGACCTGAACTGAGGCAGTGTAGCAGATATGGTATGGAATTGTTACTGGAAAGGGGTCCCCATCCGGACCCCAGAAGAGGATTCTTGGATCTCGTTCAAGAAAGAATTCAAGGGCCAGGCATGGTGGCTCATGCCTGTAATCCCAGCACTTTTGGAGGCTGAAGTGGGTGGATCACCTGAGGTCAGGAGTTTGAGACCAGCCTGGCCAACATGGCAAAACCCCATCTCTACTAAATGTACAAAAATTTCAAAGGAAGCTGTGAATTGGAGAAGAAAAAAAAAAGAAATAGCTGGGCGTGGTGAGGTGCACCTCTAGTCCCAGCTACTCAGGAGGCTGAGGTGGGAGAATCGCTTGAACCCAGGAGGCAGAGGTTGCAAGTGAGATTGCGATGAGCGAAGATCATGGCACTGCACTCCAGCCTGGGTGACAGAGCAAGACTCTGTCTCAAAAAAATAAAAAACAAGGTTAGTGGTGTTGGCTGAGGTCTGGAAGGGTTAGGCTTGTGAGAGGATCAACATGCCTTTGGCTAGAGATCTACTCCATCCTTCCTTGGAAGAGAAAAAGAAAAAACACAAAAAGAAACGCATTATGCAAATGTAAAGTGTCCAGGTTGCTACAAGATCACCACGGTTTTCAGCCATGCTCAGACAGTGGTTCTTTGTGTGGGTTGTTCAACAGTGTTATGTCAGCCTGCAGGACGAAAGGCCAGACTCACAGAAGGGTGTTCATTTAGAAGAAAGCAACACTAATGATCCAAACAGCTTCATGAATTTGTGTTATCTCACAGAAAACTTTACCATAAGTTCCATAATCCTAATTAATCTACCAAGATAATGTAATTACATTTGGTTTTGTAAGGTGTACAACAGTGATCTCCTATTTTGGTGTCAGTTTTTCAATAAAGTTTTGATTATAGGTAAAAAAACAAACAAACAAACAAAAAGAATTCAAGTCCCTGTGGCAAAATGAAAGCAAGTTTATTAGAGAAATAAACAAAAGAATGGCTACTCTATAGGCAGGGCTGCACATGGGCTGCTCAGCTGCTTATATGTATTGTTACTTCTTTTTTTGAGACAGAGTCTTGCTCTGTTGACCAGGCTGGAGTGCCGTAGTGGGATCAGCTCACTGCAACCTCTGCCTCCCAGGTTCAAGCAATTCTCTTGCCTCAGTCTCCCGAGTAACTGGGATTACAAGCTTTTGCTACCACGCCTGGCTAATTGTTTTGTATTTTTTAGTAGAGACGGGGTTTCACGATGTTGGCTAGGCTGGGTCGAACTCCTGACCTCAGGTGATCCGCCGACCTCAGCCTCTCAGAGTGCTGGATTACAGGTGTGAGCCGTCATGCCTGGTCTCCTCCCATTTTTAGACCATATAGGGTAACTTTCTGACATTGTCATAGCATTTGTAAACTGTCATGGCACTGGTGGTCATGTCTTTTAGCATGCTAATGTATTATAATTAGCATATAATGGGCAGTGAGGACAACCAGGACCAGAGGTCCCTCTCTTAGCCATCTTGGTTTTGGTAGGTTTTGGCCAGCTTCTTTACTGTATCCTGTTTTATCAGCAAGGTCTTTATGGCCTGTGTCTAAGAATGCCTTAACCTCCTGGGAATACAGCCCAGTCAGTCTCAGCCTTATTTTACCCAACCCCTATTCAAGATAGAGTCGCTCTGATTCATAACGCCTTGGACAAAATGAGCAAATAAACCTAAAAGATATTGAGAACATAAACTTGCTACAGCTTGATGATCTGACCTGACCAAAATCTCCTCACCTTTCTGATATGTGACCTGCAAGTCTGGGTCACACCCCTTTCCACAATACCCACAGCTCACTGTGTCATCCTCACTTAGCACATGATGAAATTGTAACTGTCATTCACCATGAAGACACTACTAAGGCCGGGCGTGGTGGCTCACGCCTGTAATCCAAGCACTTTGGAGGCCAAGGCATGTGGATCACCTGAGGTCGGGAGTTCAAGACCAGCCTGACCAACATGGTGAAACCCCATCTTTAAAAAAATATATAATAAAATAATAATAATAAAAGAAAAAAAAAAGAAGACACTACTATTTGGCAGTTTTCTAAATTGGGTAATTACATAGAATTTCTAACAAATGTGATAGAAACTGCAGAAGAATGAGCAGATTTAGAAGGAAGATGATTTCCGCTGTGCGCAGTGGCTCACGTCTATAATCCCAGCATTTTGGGAAGCTCAGGTGGGCAGATCACCTGAGGTTGGGAGTTCAAGACCAGGCTGACCAGCATGGAGAAACCCCATCTCTATTAAAGATACTAAATTAGCTGGGTGCGGTGGCTCAAGCCTGTAATCCCAGCACTTTGGGAGGCCGAGGCGGGTGGATCACAAGGTCAAGAGATCGAGACTATCCAGGTCAACATGGTGAATCCCCGTCTCTACTAAAGATACAAAAAATTAGCTGGGCATGGTGGTGCGTGCCTGTAATCCCAGCTACTTGGGAGGCTGAGGCAGAAGAATTGCCTGAACCCAGGAGGCGGAGGTTGTGGTGAGCCGAGATCACGCCATTGCACTCCAGCCTGGGTAACAAGAGCGAAACTCCGTCTCAAAAAAAAAAAGGTACCAAATTAGCCAGGCATGGTGGTGCATGCCTGTAATCCCAGCTACTCGGGAGAGTGAGGCTGGAGCATCATTTGGCCCCAGGAGGCAGAGGTTGTAGTGAGCCAAGACTATGAGCCAAGATCATGTCATTGCACTCTATTCACTGTAGCCTGGGTAACAAGAGCGAAATTCTGTCTCAAAAAAAAAAGGAAGGTGATTTCAGTTTTGAACATACTGCATTTTGCTGTGTTAGGGACATCCATGTCAGGAAATCAGACATGAGTCTGAATCTTGAGGATATATGTTGCTTCTGCATCATGAGTTTTTCAGTCTCTATTGAATTCATTTGAATTATAGCATTCAAATATGCTATAACTTGGCCACACATGGTGGCTCAGGCCTGTAAAAAAAATTCCAGAATTTTGAGAGGCCAAGGCAGGCAGATTGCTTGCATTCTGGATTTCAAGACCAGCTTGGCAACATGGTGAAACCCTGTCTCCACAAAAATACAAAAATTAGCCAGCTGTGGTGCTATGCACCTGTGGTCCCAGCTACTCAGAAGGCTGAAGTAGAAGGATTGCTTGAGCCCAGGAGGTCAAGGCTGCAGTGAGCTGAGCTCAAGCCACTGTACTCCAGCCTGGGCAACAGAGGGAGACCCTGTCTCAAAAACAAACAAAACCCAAATGTGCTAATTTTCTGTAACTTCGCTTAAGTTTAACAAACCCTCTCTTGACTCCCACATCCCCCTCCAGCTACTGTCCCATTTCTCTTTTTCCCTTTATAGCAAAACTTCTGGAAAGCATTTTCTGTACTCTTCGCCAGTTCTCCTCCTATTCCTACTTAAACCTTCCAAATCAGGATCTTGCCTCTATCACCCACCAAACTGCTCATATGAAGATTGTCAGTGGCCGCCACATTATTAAATGCAATAGTAGGCCGGGCGCGGTGGCTCATGCCTATAATCTCAGCACCTTGGGAGGCCGAGGCGGGTGGATCACGAGGTCAAGAGATCAAGACCATCCTGGTCAACAAGGTGAAACCCCGTCTCTACTAAAAATACAAAAATTAGCTGGGCATGGTGGTGCGCGCCTGTAGTCCCAGCTACTCGGGAGGCTGAGGCAGGAGAATTGCTTGAACCCAGAAGGCGGAGGTTGCGGTGAGCCGAGATCGTGCCATTACACTCCAGTCTGGGTAACAATAGTGAAACTCCATCTCAAAATAAATAAATAAATAAATAAATAAATAAATAAATAAATGCAATAGTAAACTCATACTCTAATTTTACTAAGCCTGTTAGCAGCAATTGATCCAGTTATTCACTTTACCTCTTAGAAACACTTTCTTCTGACTGGGCACCTGATTACAGGTGACTCATGCCTGTAATCCCAGCACTTTGGGAGGCTGAGGCAGGCAGATCATGAGGTCAGGAGTTTGAGGCCAGCCTGGCCAACATAATCAAACTCTGTCTCTACTAAAAATATAAAAATCAGCTGGGTGTGGTGATGGGCGCCTGCAATCCCAGCTACTCAGGATGCTAAGGCAGGAGAATCGCCTGAACCTGGGAGGCAGAGGTTGCAGCAAGCCAAGATTGTGCCATTGCATTCCAGCTTGGGCGACAGTGTGAGACTCCATCCCAAAAGGAAAAAAACAACACTTTCTTTTTTTTTTTTGAGACAGAGTTTCGCTCTTGTTACCCGGGCTGGACTACAACCTCTGCCTCCTGGGTTCAGGCAATTCTCCTGCCTCAGCCTCCTGAGTGAGCTGGGACTACAGGCACACTACCATGCCCAGCTAATTTTTTTGTATTTTTAGTAGACAAGGGGTTTCACCGTGTTGACCAGGATGGTCTCAATCTCTTGACCTCGTGATCCACCTGCCTCGGCCTCCCAAAGTGCTGGGATTACAGGCTTGAGCCATCGCGCCCGGCTAAACACTTTCTTAACTTTCTTAACTCACAAGATGCCTGGTTTTCTCATTACTACTGGCCATGCCTTTCAGTGTCCTTTGCAGCTTCTTTCTCCTCTCTCTAACATGGAAACTTGGGTTACCTCGGGTTCAGTCCTTTGGACCTCCCTTTAACTCTGTTTACTCCTTGGGTGATCTCATCTCCTCCTGCTGTGTGTGGATGATACCCAAACTCACATCTCCAGACCTGGCCTAACTTCTAAATGCCAGATTTATATATCCTGCTGTTTCCTTGGCATCTCCAGTGTGCAATAGATATCTCACATTTTACAGGGCCAAATGTATTCCTATTCTACCCCAACCTCCCCTCTCCTCACATGTCCTTCCATCCAAAAGACAGTAATCTTTTCAGTAGGTGTCAGCCTAGGCAACAGAGGGAGACCCTGTCTCAAAAATCTTGCAGGCAGACTTCTCTCTTTCCCTTACATCTCCATCCAGTCCTGCAAAACCTGTCAGCTGTGCTTTCAAAATATATGTAGAGGCCGGCTGCGGTGGTGCGTGCCTGTAGTCCCAGCTACTCGGGAAACTGAGATGGGAGGATCGCTTGAGCCCAGGAGTTCTGGGCTGTAATGTGCTATGCGGATTGGGTGTCCATACTAAGTCCGGCATCAATATGGTGACCTCCTGGGAACAGGGGCCACCAGGTTGCCTAAGGAGGGTTGAACCAGCCCAGGTCAGAAACAGAGAAGGTCAAAACTCCTCTGCTGCTCAGTAGTGGGATCACACCTGTGAAGAGCCACTGCACTCCAGCCTGGGCAACATAGTGAGACCCCGACCGTCTCTAAAATATATATATATATGTAGAGGCCAGGCACAGTGGCTCAGTAATCCCAGTACTCCCAGCACTTTGGGAGGCTGAGGCATGCCACCACATCCAGCTGACTTCTGTATTTTTGTAGAGTGATCTACAGATCACTTGAGGTCAGGAGTTCAAGAGCAGCCTGGCCAACATAGTGAAAATCCACCTCCACTAAAAACACATTAAAAAATTAGCTGGGTGTGGCAGCATAGGATATGCCTCTGTCTCCAGCCTGGGCAACAGAGCAAGACTCTGTCTTAAAAAAACAAAATGGGCCGGGCACGGTGGCTCAAGCCTGTAATCCCAGCACTTTGGAAGGCCGAGGTGGGTGGATCTGGATCACGAGGTTAAGAGATTAAGACCATCCTGGTCAACATGGTGAAACCCCGTCTCTCCCAAAAATACAAAAAATTAGCTGGGCATGGTGGCGCGTGCCTGTAATCCCAGCTACTCGGGAGGCTGAGGCAGGAGAATTGCCTGAACCCAGGAGGCGGAGGTTGCGGTGAGCCGAGATCGCACCATTGCATTCCAGCCTGGGTAACAAGAGCGAAACTCCGTCTCAAAAAAAAAAACA